AATTATTCTGACCCCTACATTAGACTCACTAGACACCTTACATCCAAAACACACCTGCTTTAATAAGCCTCAACATCCAAAGATCTCCATGTAATGTAGGGAGGGGCGTTAGTAAATAGAATCGGGCTGTGGGGTCCATTATACTATAAATATACTAAGGAACCCCAAAATAGTCTTAGGTGATTATTAAAGCCCCCATATTAGCCATATCACTGAAAGAACCCTGCCTAAACCCTAGACCCTAAACCCTAAACCCACCTATATCAAGCCCTCGGCTTAGCCGCAACACAGGGCAGGGGCACAAGGAGTCGATATCCACGCTCCACACTTTTGCCCCATCGTTCCTGCGGTTCGGAGATCCGTGTCTCTTGTTTTGTTCTCCTTGGTTTAAGGATTTTTGTCTTGAGCTTTGAGTGAAAAGAAGGAGACTTCTTGTGGATCCCTGGTGCTGGGCTTTACGAGGGTTAGTTAGGGTTTAGGGTTGAGGTTTGGGTCAGAAGACCCTAAACTCTGAACCACACACTACACCCAAAAACACCCTCTAAGAAGAATTCTAAACGAAACCCTGAACCCTGAACCCCCTAAACCCTAAACCCTAAATCCATTTCGCCTCGGCCTCTTTTTCGAGGCGGTTCGATGTTCCCTCTGCACCCTCCGGGACACCCTACCCCTCCTCTGAATCTCCTCTTTAGGGTTTAGGGTTTAGGGTTTGGATTTGGGCTTCCAAGGCCCCCACGAAGAGAGATTCTGTCCCTGGAAAGTGGACTTGGTGGGGGGAACCCCCCGCCCCGAATTGCGAGAGAAGAAAAAAGGCACTCCAGGCCAGTACAAGTATTTTGTTTGCGCCTACTATACATTATGTACTACATATGACATTATATTATATGTATCTATGCATATGTTATATGTACATCTCTGTCTCTTTCTCTCTTTCTCTCTTTCTCTCTTTCTCTCTGTCTCTCTCTCTCCTTCTCTCTCTCTCTCTCTCTCTCTCTCTTTCCCTCTCTCACTCTCATAACTCAGGCGCCCTTTACCGCTCTTTGGCCCAAGGCACGCCAACATGGCAGCCACCGGCCGGCCGACGACCTCGGACCTGCGGTTAAAAGGGTGGCCTTTCTTTGGGGTTTAGGGTTTAGGGTTTAGGGTTTAGGGTTTAGGGGTTAGGGGTTTAGGGCTTAGGGTTTAGGGGTTTAGGGTTTAGGGTGTGGGGATTTTGTTGGGGGTTGGGGTTTACAAGCTAGGGGTTTGGGCTTTCTGAAAAGGCTTAGGGGTTTAGGAGAGGTCTGAAGGGGCTTGGAGATTTAGGAGCTGTCTAAATGGGGTTTAGGGTTTAGGGTTTAGGGTTTAGGGTTTAGGGCTTATGTAGGGGTTTGAAGTTTTGGGGGGATTTGGGATTTTGGTGGTGCTGATGGTTTCTGGATGGCCTTTGGTTTGGCGTTTCGGGAAGTGTACAGGTTGAACTCTTGGGGTGTAGGGACCAGGGGCAGGACGTCAAACTTGTAGGATCCCTAATGCTAAGGGCCCCAACACCATACAGCTTCAACCTCCAAGCTCCTCAGTTCTAGCCCTAAACCCTAAACCCTAAACCCTAAACCCTAAACCAACCATAAGTTTGATCCATAAATCCTGGCCTACCGGAGCCACCAAGGCCAGGCTCGGAACGGCATGAAGTCGGAGCCCGGCGGGAAGATTCCACAAGTAAGAGTAGTAGCCATGGGCCATGGGTATACGAATCCTGAAGTTACGCATGCAAACAACATGATGCAAACCCAGAATAAATAAATAACCCCTCTCCGTGAACAGTCCGTGATTCAGAATTATGAGATCCATCCTAACAAGACCCTCAGAACAGGCGGGGCTTTTCAGCTTTAGACACGTAAACCCTAAACCCTAAGAAGAGGCAGGGCTTTTAAAGCCTTAGCCCTTAACCCATAAACCCTAAGAACAGGCGGGGCTTGTAAACCCTAAGCCCTTAACCCATAATCCCTAAACCCATTACGGCCCCCGCCTATTGACCACCACGGCGGTCTTGCCCGTCATGCGCTCGCCAACCTACCCGGTCCGAGCTTCTCGCTCTTGCAAAGGTAATCCATTCCCCTAATTATTAAACCTCCCCCCTCCCTAACATCAAAACCCAAATCGGGGGTTCAGTTTTTATATTAGGGGGGTTTCGGCGAATCCGGGTATGAGTGGGATTGCTGTAGACTGTAGCCCTGAGCCTTGAGAGCCCTACGGCCTTTGCCTTAACCCCTAAGCCCTAAAGCCTTAAGCCCGAGACCAAACAGTCAGACACAACGACCGATTCTTACGCAGCCGTTCCGGCTGTAGCGCAAACAGTCCTGAGGCCTTAAATAAGCCTTAAGCCCTGAACCCTAGAGCCTTAAGCCTTGAACACCTAAGCCCCAAAGGCTTAAGCCCTAAGCTTTTAACCCTAAAGCCTTACACCCTAAAGCCTTACGCCGTGAGCCTGCGCCTTTTACGGTAGGAATAGGGGTGCACCCACTTACCGCCCGCTTGCGTCAGCATGTAGTCCCGCTCCAAACCACCCCAACTATTCTCAATTAGGGTTTAGGGTTCACCCCCCAAACCCTCCTCAAGGGGGGCTTTCTTGCTCTCGGCTTCTCCTCGCAATTCGACACATACACGACCACGTTTCGGCAAACCACAGCTGAGATAGATTGGTGTCGGGTCGTGGGTCCTTCTCGACGAGAAGCAAGGGATTCCTAAACCCTAAATCCTTAACCCTAAACCCTAAACCCTAAACCCTAAACCCTGGACCCTAAACCCTAAACCCTAAACCCTGGGTTTAGGGTTTAGGCAGGAGGCCCCGGGTAGGCAGGGCGCCTGGCATCTGCCAACCTGACCCTGGCAGAGAGGTCATTAGGTTTAGGGTTTAGGGTTTAGGGTTTAGGGTTTAGGGTTTAGGGTTTAGGGTTCAAGTGCCTTCATGGGTTTCTATACAGAATTGGGCTTTGCGGGGTTGCTACGAGGTTGTTTCTAATTGCTAAGGGTGCACAAAAGCACACATGCACACACAGATGTCCCATGCGAGAACAACTCACTCAACTCTCTACAGAACAAAGAGAAACGATGAAGTCCCCACAGAAACGCCCCCTGCCCTTAACCCCACACCCCAAACCCTAAATCCAGATCCCTATTTAGGTTTAGGGATTCTCGAATCGACGGGTTTATAAGGCCTACTTCAAGGGTCAGGGGACTTAAAAAAAGCTGAACCCTGTGCTTCCCGCGGCCGAACCCCCAAAACCGCAAGCCCCAAAACTCAAACCCTAAACGCTAAACCCTAAAGCGCAAACCCTAAACCCTAAACCCCAAAACCGCAAGCCCTAAAGCTCAAACCTTAAAGCCGAAACCCCCGAAGCCTAAACCACGAAGCCGCTGGGCCCTAGACCCATGATAGAGCCCGTGGAACCGATACAAACCTCAAAACTCTACTAAAATCAAACACTCAGTATGTATATATATGTATGTATATATATATATACATACATACATACATACATACATACATACATACATACCTACATACAGACATAAATACATAGATAGCAAGTAGCCATATCAACACCTTTCAAAAACCCTCGAAAACTCGCGCAAAAGCGTCCAAAGCCAAAGCCCTAAACCGTAGTCCAAGCCCTACAAGCGGCCGGAAGGTGCGGGTCATACATCTGGAGGTGCTCTAGGGTCTTCACCTGAGAAGGCGTTCAGGCTTCAGGGCTTAAAGGTTTCGGGACAAGGGTTGAGAGTTTACTTGCAGGTCTTTGGGGTAGATATAGGTTTAGGGTTTAGGGTTTAGGGTATAGGGTTTTAAGTTTAGGGTTTAGGGTCACATGCGGGGACTTATAACCCCACTTATAACTCCGGGTTTATGGTTGGTGTTACCCCACCTATAACTCCCGAGGAGCCTCCAAGTGAGGTGTGGGCCTGAAGGTTTGTGTCTTGGGGTTTAGGGCTTAGGGCTTAGGGTTTAGGGTTTGGGGTTGTTTAGGGTTTAGGGTTTGTGGTTAGGGCGCTGAGGAGATCCGAAGAAGGCTCCATTAGGGCTGCTGAAGGCTCAAGCACCCTCTAAAATTCGGCAAGGGCTTGAAAAAATGGCTTGATAAGTCTTAAGGCTTCTGACGATGTTCAGAAGGCCTTTGTAACAGGTCTGCACGGGTATCTAATAGACGGGCCTTACTAATTAGAATAGGGTTTTGGGGCCCCTTATAGTATGAAGATACTAAGGAGCCCTCGAAGTTGTATAGGTAAGTACTAAGGCCCCTTTTTTAGCCATATCGCCTAAACCCTCAACGAAAAACCCTAAACTCTAAGCTCAAAGCCGTAAGCCCTGAACCCTAAACCCTAGAAGGATTTGGAGTTCTTCTGTACAGGTTTAGAGTTTTGAAGTTTTAGGGTTTAGGGCTTAGCGTTTAGGGTTTAGGGTTTAGGGTTAGGGTTTAGGGTTTAGGGCTTGAGGGTTAGGGTTTTAGGGTTTAGGGCTTAGGGTGTAAGGTTTAGGGCTTAGGATTTAGGGCTTTGAGTTTAGGGCTTTAGGGTTTTAGGGTTTAGGGTTTAGGGCACAAGGTTTAGGGTTTAGGGTTAGGGCTTAGGGTTAGGGTTTAAGGTTGTCGTACACCCTAAGGACGAGAATGCCACTAAGCATTCACGTTCATCGAGAGAATAAGAGGTTCAAGGCGTTGGGAGGTTTACGGCCCAGCACGAAAGCTTACGCAGGAACCTTGTTCGGGGGATGCAGTAGTAGTACGAGTAGCAATAGTCTCAGAAGTAGTGTATAGGGGCCTTAGTTAGATAATAATTGGAGTAGGGTTTTTGGGTCATACTATGCTATAATTATACTGAGGAACCCTAAGAATAGTGTTGGGAATTATCAACCCTAAACCCTAAACCCTAAACCCTGAACCCGAAACCCTAAACCCCTAAACCCTAAACCCTAAACCCCTATATTAGTCGTCGCCGTCGTAGTGCAAGGCTGGGATGTCGGCCACTGCAAGTGGCGTACACGGGAGCACGCACTTCTTCGATCCCCTGCATTACAGGAGAGGAAGTTAGGTTCCCATAGGGTTCAGGTTTTTTTGAGGGTTTAGGGTTTAGGGTTTAGGGATCCCCTGCATTCAAGAGAGGAAGTTAGGTTGCAATAGGGTTTAGGGCTTATAGAGTTTAGGGTTTTATGTTTTTGTGGTTCAGGGCTCAGAGTTTCGACCTGCATTCAAGAGAGGAAATTAGGTTACAATAGGGTTTAGGGATTAGAGTTTAGGGTTTTATGTCCTTTTTTGTGGTTTAGGGCTTAGAGTTTAGGGTTTAGGAATCTATGAGGGTTCTACAGGGTATCATTAGGGTTTATAGGGTTTCAAAAGCGTTCTATTCCTGGGCTTTCGGAGTTTCTCAGTTCGGACTTTTCAAGGTTGAGGTTTAGGGGTTTAGGGGTTTAGGGTTTTGGGTTGACAGAGCAGGCGACTGTTTGGTGTTGACCTTCTAAGCCCTGAGCCACAACCTTCTGTAGCCCTAACATTAGCATAAAGCTCCTTTTGTGGGTTTTGGGTTTGGGGTTTAGGGTTTAGCCCATGCAACCCAGCACCCTAAACCCATGTCTTAACCTAAAGCGAAGAAGAGTGAGCCGGGCTGGTGTGCCCGGTAGCGAGCAGACTTAGCAGCTCGCTCTGCAGTTTTCGGTTCAAGGACACGGACTGCTTAGGGTTTAGAGTTTAGGCCCTGAGGTTTTCGGGGTTTAGGGTTTAGGGTTTAGGGTTTAGGGTTTAGGGTTTAGGGTTTAGGGTTTAGGGTTTGGCTTAATTCAGAAGCTTTGTGGCTTGGTTTAGAGGTCGTGGAAGTTGAAACCCTAAACCCCAAACCCTAAGCCCCTAGTCGACTTCTTACTGCGCCCATATCAAGGTAAAGGGTTTCGGGGTTAGGCCAGGGGCTTAGGTTGTTTTTGTTTTTCTAGGGTTTAGGGTTTAGGGTTTAGGGTTTCGGGTAGCCTACCCGCAACCCTAAACCCTAAACCCTAGAAAACCTTAGGGGTTTCGGGCTTTGGGGGTTAGTTTCAAGTTTTGGTCTGTAGGGTTGAGAGCAAGGTCTCGGGGCTTTTGCTCTTCAAGTCGTCTTGCAAAGCAACGCAACACCCTCCTGTCCCAATCAGCCTTGCGTGACACCCCGGTTTAGGGTTTAGGGTCATGGGTTTAGGGTTTAGGGTTTAGGGTTTAGGGTCATGGGTTTAAAGTTTAGGGATCAGACCCCCACAAAAATCTGGAAAGTCGAACCCCTAGTTTGGGAGCCTATACTACTAAAGGGTCCTTTGTAGGAACCCCCCCTAAACCCTAAACCCTAAACCCTAAACCCTAAACCCTAAACCCTTAAGGGATCGACTTCTTAGATCCTCCCAGGGTCTGGGACCGACACCCTACAACAGAAGACACTGCGAAGCTGCTCAAGGCCCGGAGAACTGTTAGGGTTTAGGGTTTAGGGTTGAGGGTTTAGGGCACTACACCCTAAGCCCCTGTTCCAGTTCTCATACGGGTTTAGGGTTTAGGGTTTAGGGTTTAGGGCAACCAAACCTCTAAAACCGTGTAAAAACCTGTGAAAGCCCCATGGTGCCCTAAACAAACCCTATGAGACCTTATGGAAACCCTGTCATCCCCTGTACTATGGGTTACATCCCAAGCCCTAAACCCCTAAACCCTAAACCATACCACCCTGAACCCCTAAACCCTAAACTTTGAAACCTAAAACCTAAACCCTAAACTACTAAACCCTAAACCCTAAACCCTAAACTACTAAACCCTAAGCCCTAAACCCTAAACCCTAAACCCGAAACCCGAAACCCTAAACCCTAAACTACTAAACCCTAAACCCTAAACC